TCAATTCGCGTAAAGCTCTTACAAGAGCTATATACTTTAGCATTCGCTAATTTTGAACTGATAAATTAGAGGGTAGGCACCTAGACGACATTACTCACCGGCTACTCAAATCAAACGATGGAATTAGACAAGAGCCTTACAAACGTTTCTCACTGACGACACTCTAACCCACTTACCTTGATTTGCGCGACACCCTTGCTGCCACAAGCAACATATATATATTGTAGATTTTTTGAAATGTTTTTTAATTCTACTCCGTTTGGTAAAACTCTCGAGACACCTCCAGCAACTGCACTCACGGACCCAAAATGGGGAATGTGATTTTCATTTTTACGACGGCAGGACGCGAATTATGGATAATTAGATCCATAATCCGGCACGCTAAACATTGGGCTAAACCTGGCCCATAACTATTAAGAATGTGAAGAAAGCTTTAATGGGAAATTGTGTACCCGAATAGATTTCTATAAGTGTTTTGTTTAAATCAACCATAATTACTCAAATAAGTAATTCAAATTTAGAGTGGGGATTTGTGTTTCATGCATATATGTCGATAAAAACAGCCTAACATTTTATGTCATTTTATAGTACCTGTTTACCACTGAACGCTTTTACAATCGTGAATTTACATGACTCGTATTCGTGCGCTAATCCACCAATAACGTGGGGTAATTGGGACAACTCGAATCAATTTTCTAAGCTGAAAGATTAAGAGTTTATATTTTCTTCGTTATAATAATCCTTTAGATATATTATAGTTTACTGGAATAATAACACATAACAGGAAAAAACAATACAATTTATTTTTGTTTTTTTCTCAGGAACTTTTTGTTTCATACTTTTCATATTTCTTTAAAGTTTGATTAATCAACTCGTGCTTTTGATCAATTTCAAATATTTAAGTAGCACACTCGCAGTTTTAAATAGTATTGTTTTCAATTAATTCGAATACATGAATATAAAACTTTTAAAAAATAATAATTCTGTCATTAAAAATCCTATCACGTTTCATATTTTACCATGCTATGTATTCAAGTAACTAACCGGTGCAGGGGTTAATAAGTTTCTTAACACGCGGAATGTAGAATTAATTCATGACGTCAGATTTTACGAGAGAAGTATAATGATGCATGATCTCTTATCGTCTTTGTTTCCAGCGTAACTAGTTTTTATGTATGAACATACGTATAGTTGTTTCCTTCTCGAAGGATTTTTTCACTTTTACTTGATATCGGTAAATGATATAAATTTAGGTATGAAAGATTCCTTTTACAAGTGAAATAACAGTGTTCACACAATATGGTATCCAGGAGTTTTTTCTATGAGATTGCACTGGAATCTTATTAAATGTTCCTGTCAGTTGCAAAGTTAAGAACATATTTCCCAGTTTTGATAGGCGGTGTCATTGTAACAACGATTTATATAGCGATTTAGCAACTTGATATAAAGTTTTAATATTTTTTTCTTTCACTGAGTTTCTGACAAGTCAGGTCATGTATAAAAGTTTCAAAATTCCTTTTTTTACGAATTTATCGCGAATTCCTGTAAAGCAAAATATGAAAGAAATGACACATAAAAACACATAGGTTTGGCTTTTTTTCAATTCTGGAATTTATCTTTAAATATAAAGTTGTTTACCTATTAAATGAGCATTTCCGAATACGTTTAAGAACATTTGTGTTAATTCCCTTGAGATCAAAGACCTTTAATGATACAGTACGAAGTAAACATAACAAGATTACCTTATTAAATACTGTATCATAAGTGTCTTATATTTATAAAAATTAAAAAAGTATAAAAATAATAATGCAGTTCACTCCAATATAAAACTGGTGGCACGAATCGTTATAGTAATATACAAAATATTGTCACTATTTAACGTGAATATTCCCAAGTGAGATTTACAAAGGAAAGCGTAGAGGCGATTCTGGTATTTCACCAGCATCTCTAATTAGTTTCATTATATAAGAAGAATCGTCTGACTGTGATGACATTGTTGAAAACTGTTGCTATGGACGTAGCTAGATATGAGGCTGGGGACTCCCCCCCCCGTTTTTAAACATTTTTAATAAATGACAGTTTAAGAAAATTTATATTTATCACAAACTTTGAGTTCAAATAACCCGTTCATGTAATTTTTAAGAACTACACATTTGCCTGTGTTAATGGTTATCTGAAGTACATATATCTAAACTGTTTAGAATTTGCCCCTCCCCACTAGAGTTTCATTGCTACGTCTATGGTTTACTTCCACATAAGATATTGGATAATTTTTTTTCCCACTGAAGGTCTCAAATATTATGAATTGTTGGTTTTTACTTTATTAATTACACTTAACCTCTTAGAACTGAGTTTTATGACTTGCCATCGTGCACTAATAAATTGTACTACTTTTGATATCTAGTAAAAGCATATAGTAAGTCAGTAAGTAAATTAAGTTGAATGTGAAACATGAAGCTATGTAATTTTGTTGAACGCTTATGTATATTAACACTGTGGGATTGTGACATCTTAACATATGTAAGTAACAGAGATATAAAAATTATTTATTGATCTTGTGTGAGTATTTATTGCAGCTCTACGATTTCACTCCCGGTATTTGTGTTGTGAGCACAATTTTCTTTTATTATGTAGTCCTCTCTCGTGTTTTTTATTTCTTTTGCCATGGCAACAATATGAAAAACGTCCACTAAATCTGCTGTTTTAACGCTCGGAAGTTGACATTGTTGTCATAGGAAACTAATATCTTTTCTCGTGTAGTTTTAAACGAGGAGCTGCTCTATAGTTGATGTTGACAGCTGAGTCAGCATTAGATCCTGACAGAAGTTGTAATAACTCCAGTCTTTGCTACTTATTTTGGATCTATACTAAAATGCTTAAGGTTTCAATATACTGCAACTTGTTTTTATATAATGCATATCTCTGTAAACAGTAGAAAAATATGTCATTTTTATTTCGACATTTTCTTGAACACGAAGTAGAAATTCTTACTAGTGTGAAATCGAGAAAAGAAAACTAATTAGTTACCAATTTTTGGCGCTGAAGTTTAAGGTACTAGAACTGAAATTCAAACATTCACCCGTTCTCAACATTTATCCAATTATCCGACCTTGATTTATATTGGTACCCTGTTGTTTTTTTTTCTTCTTTCGAATGAAACTCACGTGTTTTATCAAGGTATTTTGTTTGGCTTGGTATAATTTCTCTAGTTATCCTGACGTATTTGTTACGTATGTTGTGAACAAAAATAATCATTTTTTTTTTACGAAATGTAAGACAGAAACTGTGTTTCTTTTGGCCCGATTAAATATAAGGTGTTTGTATGTGTATTCTGAGTTATGCTTTCTTAAATGGTTTAATGCCATCTATTTTTCCGGGTTTATGAACAGTTTTTAACATAGATTTGACTATCAGTTACCGTATTCACTTTAGAATAACTAATCTACATGCAACAATATAGGCGTTAAACTTAAATCATAGATATATAATTGAGTAGTACCGTACTGAAAATAAGGTTTTAAATAATGTTTTCAGTTTATGTTTACATTCGTGTGTGTAAAGGCATCGTTTTGAATTTCTTTAATTGTATACAGATTGTGCAAATAAACAACAACCGATTTTGAATGACAGTGAATATTTAGAGGTAAAATTGGAACCAACAGGTAAGTAATAAACTGGGTCGGATTCATGGTTTGTGTCCCATGGTCACAAAAATGCACTCCGCACTTTGAGACCATAGGTGTGTTATAAGAGCGGTGGTCAAATGATTTTGTCAAGAACGAGTAGTCCAAGAGTTAGCGGTGGATGTTGTCTCCCTTCTAGTCTATCATTTTGAAATCTAGGATGGTACACGCAGTTAGTCCTTTTTTTTCAAACACTGATATAGTTACTTTGATTCCAAGCAAGGTTGTGTGTTCTTTGTGGCAGGGAGCAGTTCCCTAATGGAACATCACAACAACCTGCTGACAATGGAACATCACAAGGATCTGTTGACAGTGGAATATCGCAACGATCTACTGACAATATGGCTCACCTTTTGAATTAATTCATTTAAGATCTCTTAATCTTCTCAAGCTGAGAAACTTCAGAAATATGTTCCACACCAATGAACAAAGTGCAGTGTACATAACAACACCCTCACCATTGATTTTCACCTTCTGCTTCCAAACTCGTGTTCTGTATTCACGTCAGAACTAAGTGAATTAACTTTCATCAATTCACAAAATCCCCGAACAATCGTCCAACTTTCAGTGTGAACGAACTTCACATCACTCAGAGTAGTGCTGAGTATTCCTGGTATGATGTACGTTTTTCCTTATCCTAGCTAACTCTTTCAAAGATTCATGTTGGCCATGCTGCACAGAACTTAGAAGTTATCTATTCATTTGTGAACTTGTTGAAATAACGATTTCAAACACCATTTTACAGCCCTAGTCGTTAGAAGTTTATCATGCTAAGCTTCGCTAGCTGACCTAAAGAATTTTTTATCAGTTATAGTGTCAAGTTTGTGATATCGTTAAATGATATTATGTTTAGTAGGTCATAGATTGCGCATGTACGTGCGATTAAATCGATTTTCCATAAATCAAGCAGCCTATAATCTCCTCCCTCCAAATCGTATAACTCAAGGCATGTTGGTTTCTTTGTATATACTTCGTATTACTAATTACTTATCTGTTTTTGTACCTTTAATCACAGAGTTCCTTTTTCAAGATAGCGTGAGTGAATCATACTCCATAATCAAGGGGTGTTCGATATTTTTGTGAGGTTAATGTATTTCTTTCTTTAATAAAATAATGTTATTGTTTCAGAACACATTTTTTAAAGATATGAAGTAGTTTGTTCTCTATCATAATTTCCTTCGTTTGTTACGTGTTTTGTGAAGTCAGTTTTTCATTTCTTTAGATAGTATTGCCAGTGTGGCATTTTGATCTGGAGGTTATCACTGTTTGATTATCACAGATAATATCCTGGTTATTTTTTTCTGTTTAAACTTGTAGTGTGTGGGGTTCATTTGCCAACCGCCAAAATTTCGTCCCAGTGGAATCCTGGTCCGCCTCCTGTCGGACCTACGACAACACCTTCCAGAGGTGGTGCTCAAGTGCCAAACACAGCACCCCCTACTGCTGCTCCAGCACCCCCTCCACCTGACGTCACAGGGTCAGATGACAGTAACAGCAAAGACAGTTCTTCCAAAGGTGACATGGTTAATTGTGAGGCAGAGGGGGTTTGGAGTCCGGATATTGAACAGAGTTTTCAAGAGGCACTGGCTATCTATCCGCCGTGTGGTCGACGAAAAATTATACTATCCGACGAAGGTAAAATGTATGGTAAGTTGATAATATTTTTATAACTATTATGGTGTTGAATAACAATCTTTGAATTTAGTGAAACGACAATAACATTTGGACTGTTCCGTGAGTTATTAAACGATGAAACTGTAAGAGTAAATTAGTTAACGCCCCACGGCTGATTTTTTTAGTTTCTAATTTCATTCAACGTTTGTACTTCGTTGTAGCTTTTGTACTTCTTATTTCTTCATTATCTTATCGGTGTGGATAATCTGTTTATACATGATAAACTAAAATACTAGCATTGCAACCATTCAAGCCTCAGTTTTACCTCATATCGCTTACTTGTATCTTTTGTGTATGTGTGTGTGTAGGTATCGTGTGCTTTTTTATTACAGAAATGTTATACTGAAAGCAGTTTAGTTCCCACAGGTTAAAGCATTAAAATGAAGCTTACAAAACTTTGAACTTGGAGAGAACAAACGAAATCCTGCTAAGCTCTCTTTCAAGGTCAACTTCACGACTGTCTCGTTCTGAATATACAGAGACCGCCACAGTGTATGGATTTTATATAGTAAGCTTTTCCAAGGTATTAAGCCAAGGAAAAGCATTGTTTGCTCTTTTCATAATAAAGATTAAGGGTTCGAATTTTAATGATGAACAGATGGACAATCCGTCAATATTCTCTTACTCTTGAGCATTAATTCAAAAATGAGTGCCCCATCACTGATGCTCAAAAAGCATACCGTCAAGAACTTGATGTTAATGTTGTTCGTTCTGAATATGTCATCAGCGGGAATTGTGGTTTCGAAAAGATGGAGCCACTTGACATACAGCACGAGCAACAATGGCAGTGTTGCGTGAACTGTTCCTAAACAGGATAATTCCTCGTAATGAAAACATAAACTGGCCTCCACGATCCCGGGATTTGTCAGCAGCAAACTTCCTTTTGTGGTATTACTTAAATGACAGTGTGTATATTAACGAGTCACGGACAATACAGTATTTTTAAAGATAACATAAAGACAGAAATTAATGGCCTTACGCGTTAAACTTTGATCTCTGCTATGGATGATGTCATCCTTAGAGCATGTCAGTGTGTAGCGGTTAGTGGTGGACATTATTTTTCATACTTAATGTTTACAGTAAATCTTAGTGAGCTACAGTTTTATAACTAGTAAACACAAATCACAACAACAAATGTTGTCGATTGTTACAGTTTTAAATCCCTACACTTGTTTTGGCGGACCCTGTAGTATATTGAAACACTAATCGTCAGCTACGTTCTATAGAGTGATTCTGTTCTATTTTCTTTTGAAGTTTTTGGGGCTAGCCATAATTTAGTGGTTAGCGTGCTGAGACTGTACATCCGAGTGTTAGATGAACTTTCTGAATGGTTTGTACAACCAATAATCAGACTATAATGTAACGAGGTAACCATGATTATTTATGTTTTGGAGGCAGACATTTTATTTTCGACTTTGATATTAGCTCTGCATATGTTGTTTTATTCACATAGAAGAACTGAAATGCAGGTAAAACCTTCTGTAGATACGGCTGTGAAAAAAATGTATTTACTGAGAAAAACAAACAGCATTTTATTTTGGCATTTTATTACTTAAGAGGATACATAATAATATGCCAATAATATGCTGATTGGGTCTTTCGTCAATACCAAGGCTCATCAGCCCGACTGGGATTTGACAGACATAGTAGTGGCCTAGGCGTTATATATATATATATATATATATGTCATCAATTTTCATTTGATCAACTACAGAAACTTTTAGGGCGGCACACTGTCGTTGGAGAGTAAAATGTTTCTGAAGAGTTGACAATTGAGATTCGAACCTGCGGCTCTAACTGCTTACCGAAAAGATGAACCTTAGCGGACTTAGTTACTTTATGTCTAATATCTGTTTTCACTTCATTGGTTACTAGTGATGAAAGTTGGTATGCCTGAACTCAGCCAAACTCGTGAAGTTAAAACTAAGATTTGCATTATTAGTGATGTGGTAGCTAAGTTCGAATCATGCCTGGTCTCTACTTTCGCTTCTGCTGAAAATCCTAAATCGTATTGAAACTTAAATTTCGGTTGTCTCGGAGTTGGTTTTAAGTGGAACGAAATTAAACGTGGATGTTTGTATAAGTAGTTTACGATAACAAGTTATATTTGAAATAAAAATAAATTTCCAGAATAACCCAAAATTTCCCGTTTAGAAATAAATACATGTCACGTGCAGCTATAACTTATCTGAAGTTGAAAAACAAATCGATTTGAGTAACTGGAACTAACGAACACCATAATAAATAATAATATAAGTCTAATTTCTAAAGCTTAAAAGATCTGAGAGTTAGTGTAACATCTGCATGTGCACTAAACTGGACGGATATTTAGAAAAATGGCCTTCACGGTAAAAGCTGGCTACACACACCTGATTTGGTCCATTTGGGTGTGGTGAATACAAAAACCTATGCTACCAAGCGGGGAAAATGATGTTTAAGGGGTGAAAATGCTTAAATTAAAATGGCCTCCACACCGTTATTTAATACCATTAAACTATCCATTGTTTGTAGTTTGGCATATATGATATAACTGAAAGAGGATCATTTGAGTAATGCCTTCCTTTATCGTATATTCAACCATTTCTGAGACTTGAATAGTTGTAACATTAAGACAAACTAGACAGGTACTCTATACAGTAATATTTCATAGTTTTGGTATTAGAATATCAATCTGCTTATATGTAGGAGAAAATAAGAAACATTTAACAATACGTATGTGTTTCTGACAGAATAAGTTACTTTTGTTAAATGATATATAATGACATCGTGTTTACTACAACGTTGCATGTATTTATTTGGGTGTTACATATTGAGTACATGGTCAAACATGTAATTAGATATTGTTCGTATATCTCCTCGGAATGGGAATTACATGAACATAGTGTTTACTACAACGTTGCATATATTTACTTGGGTGTTATATATACACTGTCAAATATGTAATTAGACTGTTCACTGTTCGTGTATTTACATGAACATAGTGTAAAGAGTGATTGATCACAGCTAATTTTCATCATTATTCATACAACAAATTTCTTCACCGAACGTCCTCCTGTGGGTCAGCGACATCGACGCACCGCTAAGTCCCGTGGTTCGATTGTCCGCAGTGGACAGAGCGCAGGTAGCATGAGATTTTCAGTAAACCTAGAACAACCACACATCCCTGTACATGACATACCTGCTTCACGGCATTTCTTTAGAACATATAAACACTGTCATATTGTTTCGGTTCATATTGGAAATACACTATGTGCCAAACTACCTTAGCTGTTTATTATATACTGTACGAAGAACTAAATAATTGCTGTGACAGATTCTTTAATTATTATTTAACATATCTAGACTAACAATACTGTTAGTGTAAAGGATTTCCATAGTTGATAAAATTAGAAATGAAACAAACACTTTTATTCATGTCTTTGGTGCTTTATAAGAACATATTGTAACAAAATGCTGCTATTGATATATGTGTTCACGTATGCAAGTTCATAGCCAGTTCTGGAAGTGGGGGTTCTTTTTGGTCCAAAGTCGAACTCGTTTCATGTGTCATTTTAGCGCCCAGGAACGAAAAACAAATTTTCGAAATATGTAATGGTTCCTTTATTATCACTGTAAATAAACATTTCTAGTAAATTTCTTCTGATAAGTATGAAAACGCTATTTCTGCATGTATTAACAGTGTTATCAAAGCAATTGTAATTTTCGAAATCGGCGCCCCAAAATTTATCAGAAGATCCTTGTTACCAACGTTTACTAAAGTGCTGTTGATATTATTATGCAGGATATTTTTGGCTTTTCCCATGCAGTCTGTACGTGTGCCAGACTAAAACTTGATTTCAGAGTCTACTGTACGCGTATAGTTTCAAAGCAAAACTATAAGAACTGCCATGATGACGTCATTAAATAAGATGACTACTATATTGGCATCATAGACGTTTATTGCAGTTTAAAAAACACTAAAATATTTGTAATTGTGTAAATTACGACAGTCCTTTTATTGTCTCCTTGTGTTCAGAACATTTTACCTTACTGCGGAGGTTGCACAAATATGCCCCTGTATTGGATCTGAAAGCTTATAACGCTAAAACCCGGGTGTCGATACCTGTGGTGGACAAAGCACAGATAACTCATTGTGTAGGTTTGCGCTTAACAACAAACGAATGCACAAATATATGAGCGAACGTTTTTTTTTCAGACTTCAGCGTTATAATAAATGTTCGGGATAATTAACCAACAGATGAGACTTCTTATGAGCTAAAATGTATTTTACATGTCGTTTCTGCTACTGTAGTACTTTCTTCGGATACGCAATGTTCATAATGGAGTAATGCTGGTGATTATAAAACATCTCACGGGTCATGTACAAAAAACAATTGATTGAGTTAGATCGACTGGATTAGGAAGTAACCTCACTGTTGTTATAAATATTTCTGTTTTGTAGGTTGTGAAACAGATTTATCTATAAAAGAAAATACTAAATTATTAAGGAACAGAAACAGGGAAAAGGTGAAAACATAATAAGGTAAAATTCAAGCCTAAAGAAGAAATATTGAAATAAAAGCGTGTATTAGAAAAATTAACTGTAGCGATAAGTTACATACAACTTTTGTGATCGTTTCTTTGTAGGGTCACTTTTTCTCAGTCCCGGCATGGCCAGGTGGTTAGGGCGCTCGACTCGCAAAGATGCTCGCCCTTTCAGCCGTGGGGGTGTTATAATGTGACGGTCAATCCCACTATTCGTTAGTAAAAGAGTAACCCAAGAGTTGGCGGTGGGTGGTGATGACTAGCTGCCTTCCCTCTAGTCTTACTCTCCTAACTTAGGGATGGCTAGTTTTTCTCTTAGTTGTTAACTAGGTGAGTAATGTCATCTGAAGGCTCTTCTAAAAACTCGTATGCTAATGAAGTACTTTTTAGGTAAATTAAAAAGTACACTGCTTGTGTGAGATTGTTTTCGGTTCAGAGAGATTTCGTGT